CCCACCCGTATGGTGTTGTTGAACGCGCGCAGTTCCTTTTCTAGAGTCAGACGATACGTGGCCGACTCCTTTGTTCTTGACTACGTGTATCCATTGTTAAGGTTTGTACCTCGTTTATTTTTCACTATTTGTTTAATAGTACCGTAATACATTGATTGTTGTTATCACCGGGGTTTGGCGTACGCAGTACTACTGGATACAGAGTCAAGGGAGGCAAGAGACACGAAACACTAATCTTAAACCCAACCATGGACACGCGGATGACCACTAGGAACTATAAATACCGTGCAGCCTGTGCATGTCTCCGTGAACTTATTCCTAACCTTAAAAATAAAATAAACCATGTTATCCCTAGAATTTAGCATAAACAAACTTGCATGGCAGGTGTTTTTTGTCCTTATCTCCTGTTTAGAGGGCCATTACTTTTAGAAAGAGCATCAACTTAAGGCAAAACTGGGAATTCAAGAAAACAGAAGAGTAGAACGGAGAGACACTACGTCGAATACAGCCAGGTAACTTACGCTAAGCAGCTCCTTTACAAAGGGCACCATTGACTCCTCCTCCATAAGACGATTCACTATAAGGGACAGGCAATTGGCCATGTGAGCAAAGCACTGCAGCAGTTGGGCCAGTTTCACGCAGCAGGCGATTCCGTGCTTGTAACGGTGGATCAGAGTTGTGAGTAAGTTGGTGATGGCCGTTCGTACACTAACGTTGGCAGCGAGTGACTTATTCTCAAGCAGCTTGTAGCAACAGTTCGCTAGTAAACTAGAGGATAAAAAGGGGGACTTAATCGTGGGTTTTTTCTGACATAAAGACGGTGGTAGACGTAAAAAAAACAGCAAAATACCGGCTTGAAGCGGGAAAAGTTGAGGAAAACAACAAAGATGGATGGATCTTGACTTCATGGGAGGCAAGTTGTAAGTTGTTGGCTTTGAAAACGAAATACATTTTGCAGAAGAGATCAAGAAACGTTGGTAAATACAAAACTACCATCTAAATGTAGGGAAGTCACTGGTTAGAACGCTGGATATTTATTTTATTAATGAAATGTAGTTTTGTCAGCAGTGTCTTGTATAAATCACCTATCATTGTCCAACAACTGCAGAAGCTACTAGTCGATGGAATAAAAACTCGCAGGCAAACCGAGATTCTTAGATGTGACATACAGCAGTAGAAAATCCAGTAAATTCTGCCTCAGACCACCAAGCACGTATCTGCCTTGGTATTGTAGGAGTTCGTTTGTCCTCATCAGTACTACTGAAAGTCCAATCCAGCATGGAGGCACGACGAAATAGTAACGTGCAACTAACTAAGGATAAACGAAAACTGTTACCAGCAAGAGTGTCCGTTCTGCTTTGAAAAAACTGGGGACTTCACATTATCCTCCAGGCAATCTTGGATATTAAGCGACTTGCCAATAATGAAGAAACCGGTAAAAGTTAAGTTTGTTGCCCATGTTAGATACCCCTAACCCCAGAATTTTATTTTACGGGAGTGGTGATATCGGCTTATTTTTTAGTTTAATCAGTTTTGATTAGTTTAGCTTAGTCTGGCTAGTTTAGTATATAGTAGTTATTCAAGTGTACTTATCTAAAGTTGGTGGTATACATCTACTAAACTAAATAATAAACCAAAAACTAAACTAAAACAAATACAAGTAACAGTACCCACTGGACTAGGGGTATCTAAGTTGGGCGACCAGCGTAACTGTTACCAAAGAGTCTCTGACCTCGGCGGGATTCGAATCCGCGACAGACGTAGCAAAACTTTAGTACAGTGCAAAACACTGACCAAGAAATCCCGATCGAGTCTTGAATTCTCCACAACTAGGATGAAAGTATTTGTCTTGTCTACTGTAATATACCAGCTAAAAGAAAACATTTGAATAGGAATGGTGTCGGCGGTGAGACATTGTGTACTTCCTGGGAAAAGTGTATGCCGGATTAGAACACCTGCTAACCAAGATAGTGTCTAGACTAGAGCCTCAAGACTCTGGTGTAGCTACTCACTGGGAGTTATAAATAGCGACTTGAAGGAAATATTCAGACCCACGCAAAGCCGGACCCCCTGAGATAACAGCTTCAGTAAGTGGGAATCGAGAGGGCAAAAGGCCTACTTTACGAAATCCTCCTCGACTACTGGGGGGTCCCAGAGGTTTTTGATTTCCAGTTTGCAGAGCTGGTCGAGCGTGGTCACAGCGTTTGTACATTCTGTGGACCAGTCGAAAGAGAAGGTGGCATCAGCGGCACGGTTTCTTGCTGCCGACGATTTTCCACGACCGCGACCAACCTTGAAATCAGTATAAAAACAAATTAGTTTTCCCGAAAAAGATTAAGGGGAATTGCATAATTACGACAGTGATGTATTTATGGTGGTTGCGATAATGATACGCACTAAAACAAAATTTACATTTTCAGTGTTTACATGTCACTCTGTCTTTTTTCTGTTTAATAAATTTATAGAGGTCAATTTTTCAACTAAACCAATAGAGCAGTGGAGGAAAGTGGAGTACATGTGCAAATAAGTTTTTCTCGTAGCAAGGGTTAAATTCTTGAAGTAAAACTAGTATGCAGCAAACGAGGGGTAACAGTAAGCTCTATTAATCGTCAAGTTTATTGACAAAAGCAGGAGAGACAAGTGGCAGCTTTCGATCTACATTTTCCCCCTGTAACTGACTCTTTCCGCGCATTTCCTTGCGATCCGGATCCATAAAGCACGTATGATTAATGCCCTAATAATACAGAAGAAAAAAATTCATTCTCGCCATGGCGTTTTCAGACATTTTCACATCTTGATGCTTCAAGTTATGTTTTTTTTTTCAGACTTGTACATTCAGATACACACAGGCAAAAGTTGCTACGGGAACGTTTGAGCAAATTTCCAGACAGGACTAGTCAAATTTTCTATTTCGAAATTCTCCTCACTGCAAGTTGGGAAAGGGCGACTAAGGGGGAAAGAGGAGGTCGAGGAAAGTCGCCGATAGTGTTGGTTGTGAGGCGGGAAGAAGGAAAAAGAAAGATGAATTTCCACACTTACCTTTGTGGCAGCGGCGATATTGCTCTCCGCCGTGATGTCATTTTCTATCATTTCCACGAGTTGACACAGAAGATAGGTATGCATCTTAGTGGAGTTTCGATATTCCGAAACAAGAGAACGGTTGAGTGTAGTGTTGGGACCGGATAAACGGCTAAGAATGTTGACCAATTCACGCATTGTAGTTTCACAACCTTAAATAAGCGAAGAACACTAAGTTATCAAACAACTCGCCTTCAGAAGAGATAAGCACATATTATTTGGCAGATTCAACGAGTGTCTAATTGGCGCGTGCTTGAAAAATCAGCAATAAAGTTGGAAGTCAATATTGCATGCTAGTTCCACGTCGTACATTTAAATACGAGTGACAAAAATGATGATTTAGACAACAAATCAACTCATTAGGACAATGAGATTTAAAGACTTTAGTTGAGGCAGCGTATGCCACCAGAAATTCGACCGAGTCCCTAGAAGGCTGCTGATAGTCATTCTTCCTATTATTAGTAGTAGTAATTGCAGTATTAATAGTCATGTGATGTTAATGTAGGTACACCGAGACTGATATCGCAAACCGAAAAGGAATATTTTATCCCAAATACATGCGAATAAAAATAACAAACCTTTAAGTACAACGTTCCAGGCATCTTCCTTTACATTCACATCTACCGACTTCCACTCACTAAAAAAAGAAAGACCGTATTAAAATATGCCAAAGCAATGTTTGAAAGCAGCGTTTAAAAACTAGCATTTTGGGTACAAGGCTTTGTTTCAGCATGAGTGGGATTCTGTACAGACCTAAAAACAGTCCGAATAAAGCCACTACAACCTATGAGGAATGCAAACCTGCTAGTTATGACTATTTAGTGCAGAAAGAACTAGCCGACTAATGAAAAACTAAATATTTAATAGTGCGATGGATTAAAGACAATTTTAAAAACCTACTGTAAAACGCTGTAGAGGACGTCGAAGTACTGCAACACCCCGAGCAGGCCTTCCCGAACAAGTTTTCGTTGGCAATCTGCAAAATGAAAATGGCTGATATTAGTGAACACCGCAAAACGTGCTCGATACCGTCACAACCCGCCGTATTTGATAACAGCAACCATCCAACCAGCAAGTGTATATTTCATTGGGATTGACGGGTTTCAACACAAATATACACTTACAAT